ATTTACCTTTATTTTAATCGTAGAAACTAAAAATGCAATAATATACAGGGTGTTCCACTTAAAAAAATAAAACTTTGATATTTTTTATTTATTTGGGACACTCTGTATCTTGTAAAAATATTTTTAAATTGTAGCTCTAATAGTCCTTCAACGAATTCAAAACTTACAATATGTAAAAATCTAATAGTTTAGCTACAATACTCCGTGTCGTATGTGGTGAACAACCCTGTATATGAAAAAGACTATTTAGCCATCGTTCACCGTTACATCATCATTGTTTGTCAAATATGAGTTTCAGGGTGTGTCTGAGATCATTTCATTTTGTTTAGAAAATTTTAAGTACGTTCCTATATTATTGATTGAGCGAGTTCAGTTTTTTTCGGCATTTATTCATTTTTTCTTGAACTCTTCATCAGCTACGATTCCTTTAATTCCAATTCTTTGGACTGTTGAAATACCTATTTCTAAAATATCAGCAACTCCCTATATTACTTAAAAACGCTATCAATTTATATTTTACATAGGATTATTACACCTTTGCATTGTCTTTACTTCATATACGGTGTCCACGGGCAAGAGTGTTCTACCAGCGTCTCTTTCTCGAGAAAAAATATTTACAAGCTTAGGAATAAGCTCTTGTTCATTTTGGTTAAATCTTTGAGGCATTTTTGCAATTAAAAAATTAGGGTTTTGTTTTACAGCATCAATCAAATTTTAATTTTGACATTGATCGACGTCTGTCGATAAAATTATAACCTCAAATCAAATGATAATGAGTCATGGTACAAAGAATACAAGGTATGATATTGCGCAGGTTGGTCGCTACGTCACAGGTGATAACAGGCGCTATTGGTCAGCACGCTCCGCGCGGCAGTTCAAATCGTCAAGATATTGTAATAAACCTGTTTTTTTGTTTATATACCGTCATTGAATTATCGCTAAGCAAGTTAGTTGTGGAGCAGTGCGTAGAGTCAGGCTAGGAAGCCAGAGACCAGAGTTCGAATCTCGACCGGGATATAACTTTTTTATTTAATTTTTTAAATACTGTTGTATTCTATAGTTTATTTTTGTAGTATAAAAAAAAGAACTATTTATTCTTTTATTTTTTAATCTCCGGTATTAATATAAAGTGATTGTTGGTACAATACCTCATTTACTATAAAATAATATTCTACTTTTTGAAATGTATCGGGCCCTAATTGTACCTAAAAGTAATATATTTTTACAGTGATATACCATATTGTAAACTATTTAATATTTCAGTCACTTAAAAAGTTAATTTGCATTGAATAATTGCCTACCATTAAAGGAAATTTGAGCTATAATCCTTGATGGGCATATTCTGGGTATGCAAATACTTCCTCTAAATTTTGGGTTGTTTCATTCAACCGATTTATTCTCAAAACCTTAAAACATCTACATATAAAAAGAAGCACAGGTCACTAATTATAGTAAACTTTACCCTTGGAATTACTTCCACTAATTATAATAAACTTCACTCTTGGAATTACTTCTATCACAATTACAATACATTCATCTGCATTGGCATTTTCTACTTTTCGATGGGAAACAATCAACTTCCCAACATTTTTTAAATGATGTAACAATTCCTCTTGTGGTTACTTTTCCATAGATATCCTCATCTCTGTTCTCAGAATCAGACCTCTGTCCCTGTGAATTCAGAGACAATGAACATGAAAATTATTTACCTTAAACATCGCAAACTAAAAACCTAATAAACAATTTTATACCGAATATAGAAATAAATTTAGTATTCTTACCTATTATCGTCCAAATCCATGTTAATCGATAATTAATATTTTGGATTTGTGTCTTTTATTTTTAAATATATTTTTGGAACTGCTGGTTTTAGTAATTATTAAATTAAATGAACTAAATAGTTTTAAAATAAACAATTCTTAACCATTACCCCAAAAATACAAAAAAAAAGCAGATCTCCTGTCAACTTTCTTTATTTTTTATTTATTCCTTATTTTCCTAGTGACGTCACAGGTGGTATGCGCGAACTGAACGAAATTGGAGCTGCTATCGATCATACCTTGTTTTCTTTGTACCATGATAATGAGTATTACTAAAAAGAATATTATGCAGTAGTTTACGAAATGTCGTAATGACGTCACCAATCTCTTTCATCTGGTTGGCAAGTGATTGAGAGAGTCGGACAAAAAAAATATATGACGTGACGTTGAACGATTGCTGAATATTCTGTACATCTTCTTTAGTTTTTTTATTATTCAATGCTATAAACCTTGTATATGTGTAGAGACCCTAGGTCCCGTTTAGAGTAAAGATATAACTTTTTTTGTTATACTGATTACGTTTGATGTAATTACATAGGAATATATGTAAAAAATAACAACTGTTAGATATTCATTCCGTTAAAACTTATTATGTGTGTTAACTAGTTATAGATAAAGAATTTTATTTAAATTATTGTATTTATTTTCGCCATTTTATAAGAAAACTTTCAACGGTTTTCTTGCGGAGTCAAGTCTAGTCAGTAGCACGTAAGGTTGAATAAGTATATAATAATAATATTGAATAAATTAGTAATAAAATAGTAATAATATTTAGCTTAAAGAGTCCCTCGATTTAAATAGTTCATATATAATATTAATGTAATACACTCAAATAATTTTTAAGAAAAATATAGTTTAAAAATTGCTAGAGTACCAAAAAAAATGTAATTATATAAAATGTATCTACATGTAAAGTAATAAATAAAAATCATATCGCTTATATGAGAAATATTTTATTTTTTCGAGGAGCGTTTTCGCTTTTGCTTCCTCTGGAGCAAATTCTTCGTGGAGTAGTCGGAGGTATCTCGGCACTCCTGCTCCGCTGAGACCTATTCGAAGCGGGGCGTCTAGTCTGCCTAGTTGAGCTGTAAGAGTTTTTTTGTACTTGCGAGAAAGTAAATAATAAAGCGCCTCTCGTGTTTGTTCGCACTCAAAAAATTTCAATTAATGCTTGTTTATATTTTTAATATATTTTTTAAATTTACATTTTTTTAATTGTAAAGTAATATATTACATTTAAATGGAATATATTACATAACAATTATGTCGATTACAGGATTATAAGCTTGTTTTCTAACATTTAGGTAGGTATGAAAAAAGTAAAATATAAAATGGACAAACGCTTTATTTTTTCTAATTTCGAAAAATCGAAAGTAGAGAAGAAAAAAATAAAAAGTAAAAAGAAAACAACGTAAAAGTAAAATTAAATCATAAAAATATTGTAATTATATTCCTGCAGTTTAAGTGAAAAGTTTTGTTCCTAAATATCTACTATACATACGAGGGTGGTCAGAAAAGTTTCCGACCTAACAAAGATACAAGACATTTTTCCTGAATATTTTATTTTATTTTTCAACATAGTCCCCTTGTAACTCTACACACTTTTCCCAGCGATGCTCCCATCTCTGTAACCCGTCCAAATAGTACTCGGCGTTTTTCTCTGCAAAATAGTGGTTCACGAAGGTGATTGCCTCTTAATTAGACGAAAATCTCTGTCCTCCAAGCGCAATTTTTAAATAAGGGAACAAAAAGAAGTCGCTAGGGGCTAGATCTGGTGAGTAAGGTGGATGGTCAAGCAGTTCAAACCGTAATTCGTGGATTTTCGCCATGGCAACCGCTGAGGTGTGAGACGGTGCGTTATCTTGGCGAAACAGGATTTTCTTTTTCTGTAAATGAGGCCGTTTTTCCGTAAGTTCTGCTTTTAGCTTGTCAAGTAATGATGCGTAGTATGCTCCTGTGATGGTTTTTCCTTTTTGAAGATAATCAATTAAAATAACTCCATGACTATCCCAAAAAACAGTCGCCATCACTTTCCCAGCCGAAATAACAGTTTTTGCTTTTTTTGGAGCCGGTTCTCCCTTTGCCGTCCACTGTTTGGACTGTATTTTTGTTTCTGGTATATAGTGGTGTATCCAAGTTTCATCTAGAGTAATTAATCGACGCCAAAACTCGGATTCATTGCGCCTAAACTGCGCTAACATAGCGGTAAAAATGTTCATACGAACACTCTTTTGGTCTAACGTAAGCAAACGCGGCACCCAACGCGCGGACAGCTTTCTCATGCCTAATTCTTGATTTAATATGTGACAAAACGTTCTTTTGATATGTTCACCAACACTCATTAGTTGCAGTTTTTGGACGTCCCGAACGTTCATCGTCTCCCAAGCTCTTACGGCCACGTTTAAATTCAGCTGCCCAAAATTTCACTGTGGTAAATTTTGGTGCAGAGTCCCCATACACAGAATCCAACTCATGTTTAATTTGTGTAGGCGTATTGCCTTTCAAAACCAGATATTTAATGACAGCTCTATACTCGATTTTGTCCATTTTCACAAAAACACTGACATCAACTCACTCAAACGACTGTTACATAACAACTGCGCATCCAAAATGGCTGAAACTTTGGTGAATAACTGTCAACAGATGAACAATAAAAATTCACTAGCTCTTATCTACGAGTGCTGCCATCTTCACGTTGAGGTCGGAAACTTTTCAGACCATCCTCGTATAATAAACGCGTGTTCATATATTAATTATGTAGGATATACATATAACATAAAACGAGATGTACTTTTTAGAAATTTCTAGGTTTATTTATTTCACTGGGATTTATGAAAAAAATCCTTTTCCTCGGATACAGATACCGCCACGTTTTGGAAATAGCTCAAAACAAAACAAAATTGAACGAGGCAACAAAAAACGCCAAAAAAACCCACACCCTCCTCACCACTAGTTTTCAGGCGCTTTTAAGAATCGAAAGTAGGTCGAGGCAAACTGAAGTGGGCCAAGACAACTGGAAATAAATTGAAATGCAACAAAGTTGGACGACGAAATGCGACCTTGACATGTTTCGAAGAGTTTTTCGTATAGTGTATACGCTGTTTATGAGTAAGCTGTGGTATAATTTCCAGGATAATATCAGAAAAGCAACTATTAGATTCGATAAAAAAACGCTAAGAAGCTGGTGCACAAAATTATTGTTTGTTTATTTATCTAAAAAATGTAATTCGTGGTTCTTTCTCTTCGCTGCGGGTTTTACATTTAAAAACTAAACAAATCACCATTGTATAAAGTCAAAATAGAATTCACTAAACAAAATTATTAAAAAAAAAATTAAATCACAAAAATCGTCGCTTTGTTTGGCACCAAACACATGGCGTCCTATAATTCATTATCACAGATATCGCTAATATCCGCGTGTTTCGCGCGTTTTGTCGCATCCTTGTATTTTTTATAGTCATTGCTCCCTTGGTTCCGTAGTTAAAACAGGTTTTCCAGTACTGGCAAGTGTCCACCTTGAATGGGCATACTCCTCAGCGTGTTGGCCAAATCGTCTGAATTGATCTGGAAGTTGTCTAGTTCCATGCGATCACCAATTTGCTGTGGATTTTGCTGAATGGTAGTATTTGAAGCGGAGTTGAGTGGAATATTCCAGAGGGAGCAGGACGCTTGTGCCTGGTCATTGTTGATATCTGGAATAAAAAATCAGTTAAGCTTCATTCAGAACCCTTAATGGAATAAACTAGTGGTTGCAATTAGCGTAGGAGTTTGTTCCTCTAATTTCAATGTAAGCATTCAAAACATCAAAATTAGTGGTAGTAATTCTCAATTGGTGGAAAAAGTGATCAAACTTTTAACTTTTCCGATAATTATACTTCAAAATTTGCGAATTCGGCGTCATTTTGGTCTTTGATTATCATCTGTCAAGAGAAATTATTATGGTTAGAAGTGAAAAGTTAATTGTTTTATAAGTTAGTAATTAGGTTTTCTTTTTGGTATATTCTTTGGTTTTCTCTATGGATACAGCTGATGTCTACCGCAAGCTGTTGCTAGGATATTCTATTAATTTTAAATGTATTTTTTAGGCTTCATTCAGAACCTCGCAATTAGTGGAATAAGTTAGTGGTTTCAATTACACTTTATACTTTTTAGTTTACGATCATTCACAATGTACCACAATTAAAGTTGACAGAATATCATTAAAGTTAACAGATTATCCTTAACAATTAACATTAACAAAAGATCCTAGCAACAGCTTGCGTTACTCAGATGTATCCATAGAGAACGCTTAATATTTGCCACAGCAGCGGCATCCAAAGCAACGAAAAAGCCGATGAGCTAGCTATTTTTTTATAGGACAACTTAACTAGCTAGGCAAGGACCATCGGCATTCTATATTGGTCCACAGCCAGTACTGGGAATATCCAAATGTATGGCCCGTAATACACTAAAACTCTGGATGAGGGAAAAACATAATGTCCACTGGAGAAACAGACAGGGGCACAGGCACAGCAAGGCCTTTAACCAAGGACCTAGTTCTAAAACCACAAAAGAACTACTAATGCCTAGCATGAATAAAGCGCGACACTTTTTATTTGGGAAAGTTAGGCTAGAACCGGAGGAACTATGCTCCTATCCTATCAAGAACCTGCATAAGTTAGTGCAGGGTACAAGGATAGGAGAATGGGTGCAGATATAGAAAGGGGACAAACACAATAATAGGCCTCACAGGTCGCAGTGTTTGCGGCAGAGTTATTGGAAGATTCCGGCTCCTTGTTATTGGAAAAAAATAATTGCAACCACTAGTTTATTCCAATGATTTCGAGGTTCTGAATGAAGCTTATGAGTTTCAAAACATTTTTGGATGTTGTTACGTTATAATTTCTGCATTAATAAAGTCTAGTTTATTGTCTGTGTTCCATAAATGTCGAAACATTTTAGAAAATATATTTTCCAAAACGAGATATTATTTTTTTGGCATTTACTTAAATCATGCTGAAATCAATTGCGATATACTAGAGCGTGGCTAACGTCATATTCAAGGCCTGACTGTTTTGACAGTTCTACCGAAGTGGTCCAGAATTAGTCGTAAACAAACCAATTGTTTTCATTAGTTTCGCAACAAATCTGTGTTTTTTACGCGTTTCTAGGCTAATAAAATTATACTAAATAATTTTGAGTGAATAGTGAACTATCTAGATCCGATTCATAACATCGTACCCGCGAAAAAAACCATACTTTCGGTAAAAATTATAGTAACGCCGGCTGTGTGTCCGGACTAGGAAAAAGTTGGAGAATTTATATAAAAACATAATTAATAGCGGTAGTGTTAGTGTATAGTGTTAAACCAACGTAAGTGACGTGTATTTTTATGTAAAACAGTTCTTTATTTTTAATTTGTGAAATAAAAAATTCCGCGACATTGTTCTGTGCCTTGTAGCAGCAATTATAATAAGTCCTCAGGATCTGTCTACATTTTCTTTCCCAACAATATTAACTGTAACTAGGTCACGTCCAAAACCTACAGAACATGCGGTGCCTACAATTTTTCCAAATCAACCCTCTTATGGACCCTCTGTGCATGTTCCCATAAAGAGAAAACGTCCCGATGAAAGAAAACAAGATTTGGAAATTCAGGATGAAATAAATATTGAAAAGTATTATTATTATTATGAAATGGCAATATATTTTAAAGAAATTAAATGAATTTGTACTTTATTTCAGTATTTTATATAAAAAAAAATGATATCTTTATCTTTTTATTTACGATTTATGGAGATGGTTACTTGATGAACATCGAACTACAAATTACTTAATGTTAATAGGTAATTCTATCTGATATCCACATTTTTTAAATATGTTAGGCAAATTTTTACAATTATTTTTAATTAAACTTTAAAATGTATTCTGCCGTTATCATATACAATACATTTTCTTAACTTGTCGATAAACGTACAGTTTTCAAATTTTTTAATATTTGGAAACTTTTTATCACAGGTATATTATTACTAGTTGCTAAATACTCGTTAACGCAATTTTAGGACACGCTTTTTATTATCCTGATTTTATTTTGTTCATCTTATGCTGTAGTTTATTTCATATTAATATTCGTGCTTTAGATCTTAATTTTAATGCTATTCAATTACTTTAACGCGATAAAAAGTTAATGTTATTTTTTAATACCTTTCTGTATAATATTTTTCATATTTATATCTGGCAAAACTATCAATAAATACTATTATTTATGCAAAACCTATATGCAGTACCATATGGCACAATACAAAAGCCGGACTAGTGCGGTGACGTCACAAATCGATGTCTCTGGCCTGTCTGTCATGTTGGTCATGACTAGAGCTCTTTAAAAAAACTTACTATAATGTTCAGGTAATCCGTTGAAACTGTCAGTTTGGTCAAACCTGGATCTCTTCCGCTTCAAACCACTAACTATAAAATAAAAAAAATACATAAAGTAAATAAAATACACACAGGTTCTGCCTTAAAAGATAGAAGATGTGTTAGTTTGAAACATGTTTGTTAATTGTTGGCTAGTAGCCGTCTTGTTAGCTATACCGCGCTTAAGAAACGAACTATCATACCTGAGTTGTGAGGGTGTAATTCGAAAGGTACGGGCTCGCTGGTGGCCCGGTCCGATGGCCTGTAAAGTTGGAGAAAAACTCTTACAGGTTCCTCGACGTCCGTGGTTTTGTAAGGTGGCGACTTGAACCAAATAACGACCTGTTTGTAGACCTGGGTGGGACGGATGTCGGGCTTGGCACTCCATACAACCCTATCGTTTTCCAGCTCGAAAAAATGGACTTCTATATCATCTTTTGACGCCTTTAAATGAAATAAGTATTATACAGTGATGACATGACTGTTACTATATCTGCTATATCTCCTTGTTTGCAATTAGCTCTGAAAAAAAGCTTAAAAAATCAGAGGCATGAAACTTAAGGTTGAGTTCATCTCGATCATCGCCAAGCTAGTGGAAGAATATTAGGTTTATTCCAACGTAGCAGGGGGAGAACCGTACTTATTACAGTTACGCTTATGCGCAGTAGAGAAAATGGGTTCCATTAACGAGAGAATCGTTTAGCGAATGATAACTGTGCAATAATTTTGTGAATTTTCTTAAAAGATTATTTTGTGAAAAACGAATTTTTTGGAAAATCAATTTTATTTTTTCCTGCCGGTAGTTTTTAGAAAATCAAAAAACTAATTACACATTCTCATAGCCACTTTATTAGGGCTATCTGATAGTACTTTTAGATTTCCAAATTAGCTGATAATTTGTGAGATACAGAGGCCAACTTAATTTTTCTAAATACGAACCTGCATTTTTTATTTCAGGTTTTGAAAGAATAAAAGCCTATATATCTAGAGTATAATGATATGCCACACTTGATACTTTTCTTTGTTTTGGGTACCTTAAAACGATAAAACTATTTAATTATTATTTAAAGTAATTTCAAATACGCCTCTGTTTTTTAAATTATTTAATCTGATTATATTCATCGCAACAATATTGATCAGCGCTAATTAACATTGAATATGGAAAATCGAGCCCATTCAAAGATTCAAATAAATAATATCCAGGTCAGCAATTTAAATATATTATTTTTAACTTTTTTTATTGTGCATTTGGAATCTAAGTGTAAGATTTAATAATATTCATAATATTAATCGTTGTTATTATAAATAAATCAACTTCTATAAACTAGTTTCGAATACATGTTCGAAAGGGTTACCACCCTCCCTAATGCACAAATTTATTTTTTGTTCAATCTTATTTAAAGCTCTTTGAACATAACTTGTTGTTATAGTTCTGAATGCATTTTGTACTCTTTATTGTAAATGTTGAAATGTATTGATTTCACTTTTACAAATGACGCCTAGTAATGCCCCTTTAGTTATTGCATTTGATTTTCCGTATTCAATATTTCACCCCACGTCATTGTTAAGTTTGAAAGCTTATCAATATTGTAACGATGAATAGACTAAATCTTAAAAAAAACAGAGCCGGACTTAATATTAGTTTAAATAAATTATGTTCAAATGTCCGAAACAAAAGAAATATTAAGTGTGAAAAAAATAAAAATTATTTTCAAAAAAATCAGTTTTTTTTTCAAAAAACTCAGCATTCCTTAAAATTAAAAAAAAAAAATAATGGCATCTTGGTGAACATCCTAAAGCGCAACTTTGCCCCAATTTAACCATGTTCGTATCTATTACGGTTACCGAGATACGCTATGCTCGTACCTCAAATTTGTAGCACCCTGTATATTCATATTAAATAGTTAAAATTATATTAAAACTATTTATTTTCATAAAAATTTTCAATGTGCCGCTGCTAATTACTACATTCAGGAGATATAACAAATTTTCAAAAAAAATGCCTTTTGTTACTTTTTCACATAGTAATATACAATCCTCTTCCCCACCACTGACAGAGCCGACACAATCTGACAGACTGACTATCGTAAGGCTAGACACAATCCTCTTATCGTTAATTACGTCACTGACTACAGGTTCAAGGGGTTCAGTGTATTTTCCAGTTTCGCCCTCTAAGATCACTTGAAAACATAACCTTACTGCGCTAAGGTTTATTAAGTTTGGATTATACTTATGGTGAAAATGTTCTGAAACAAAATAGAAGTTTGGTTATATGGTGTATCTAGGATTTCTGAACAGAAATCCCAAAGTTTTCATATTAAAATATTCATGGCTTTCCAGAAACATATGACCTGCCAAGACGAACACAGCCGTACTATTCTTTTCTCGAAGCCATTAGTGGTACTTTAGACCCCCCTGTAACATCGTTGTGGATAAAGCAAGATTTAATTTTTAGTAACCTAAGGCTAGATTGCCAACGATTACGATTTAACCAACGCTTATATCATGTTTTTATTAATTTTACACGTTTTATTTTTTATCCCAAAAACTATTGTGCCTCAAAAATTCAACCACTTATGTAAAACAACCAACTGGGATACTCGCTCTTATAATGTCGACACCGAATTTTCTATTTTCGTAAAAACATTAACCAGTCTAGCGTTCAAATCCTTTCCTCTTAGGCCTATCAAATATAAGCATAATAAACCTTGGACCTCTAAAGGTCTGCGCATATCTTCTAAAAAACATGCGTTCATTATCTCACTTAAAAAAATTCTCAGACAGTGTCTTCTTCCACAATTACGTAAAACTATACAGAAAAATTTATCATATGACTATAAGAGCCGCTAAGGACTTTTATTATAATAGGAGAATCGCCAATTCTGGTAATGTTGCTAAAGAAACATTGTCTATTGTGAATGATTTGAAAAACAAAGCTTCTTCGTCTAGCAATATCTCTACCTCACCTGAGAACCTTAACGATTACTTTGTAAATGTAGCCAAAAATTTAACTAATACCATATGTCCTTTTCATGATCCACTTTTATATCTCTCTAATGATAATGTAAACTTACACAGTTTCTTTTTTTCGCCCGAAGTTTTTGACGAGCTTCGCAGTACAATTAATACCATCAAAAATAAATCCTCATCTGGGACCGACGGGCTAACTTTAAAAATGTTTTCGAATCTGCCAGAAATCACTCTACACCTAACTTCTTTAATAAACATAACATTCCAAAATGGTATTTTTCCAAAATGTCTTAAGACGGCAATAATCATTCCTCTGCATAAAGGAGGAGACAAAGATCAAGCTTCTAACTATCGCCCAATTGCACTCCTTCCAACGCTATCTAAGATCATAGAAAGGTTGGTTAAAAGAAAGCTGGTATCTTTTCTGTCTAAGTACAAAATACTTACTGAACATCAATTTGGATTTCTAAGCAACAAGTCCACAAATGACGCTATGCTTTCCCTTCTTAATAAAGTTTAATAATCTAAATAACCATCATTCTACAGCAACAATTTTCTGTGATTTTTCTAAGGTGCTCGACTGTGTGAATCATAAGGTCCTAATTAATAAACTGCAGCACTATGGGTTCAGGGGAACATCTCTCGAATGGTTTAAGTAGTATCTGAGCAACAGAAGTCAACTTGTGAGGGTGGATACCACGTTGTCTTCTAGCAAGCCAATAGAATGTGGAGTACCACAAGGCTCAGTACTAGGCCCTATTTTGTTTCTTCTTTTTATTAACGACATTGCTAACATAAACATCAGTGGTAAAATATGTCTTTTTGCGGATGACACTAGCTTCACTTGGAGCAACAAGGACGTCACGGCACTTCATAAGATTATATCAAATGACTTAATCACCATTTAACTTTGGTGCGATTCGAACCTCCTGAGTCTCAACATTTCTAAAACTAAAGTTTTGTCGTATAAAAACTCGCTGCAACCTTTTGTACTTAACAACACTACCACTGACGTCGTAAAATCTGTAAAATTCTTAAGGCTTGTAATTCTCTGAAATGGGACATGCATATCGACGCTTTGTCGAAAAAAATTAAGCTCTGCCTGTTTTGCATTAAGATCTGTTTCTAAGGAGCTTAACTTGTCAGTGGCTAGAACTGTTTATTATGCACTTTTTGAGTCGCACCTCAGATATGCCCTTCCATTCTGGGGTACGTGTTGTGCGACTCAATTTGACCGTATTTTCAAGCTCCAGAAGAAAGCTGTCCGATATTCACTGGACAGCAGAACTCATTGTCAGGACTTTTTAAAAAAATTAAAAATATTAACTCTTCCTTCCTTATTTATATTTGAATCCGTTTGCCTAATACGTAAGAATGTATCAGCTTCTCAAGAAAGGCCATCTCACACTTATCCACTCAGGAACGCGGAGCAAGATCTTTATCTACTTGTCCCACGCTCAGATTTAGTTTAAAGTTCAATATTATACAACTCGAAAAAAATGTACAATCACCTGCCATTTGAAATCAAATCCTTAACATCATTTTCTTCATTTCGCAAGGCATTGATATCTTATTCACTAGACAAGGCTTTTCTACTAGTTCAGTCATTGGGGATTTTTGTTTGTAAAAAAGTGCGGAAGTTTTGCAACTTTGCAGGTTTATAGGTTTGGGGGTCCCTAACTAAAATCCATAAAATGCACATTTCCAGACTTGCCGCCGGCGCCGCCATCTTGCCAAGATGGCACCCAAAATCGGTATTTTGTGAATATCTCCAAAACTATGGGTTTTTCGCGAAAATTTGAGGGAAGCAAAATTAAAGAGAATACAATTTCCTATAAAAAAGGTTTTATGAACATTTTCGCTAAATAAACGCGCCATATACTTTACCTCTTGAGTGGTGTAGAAACAAAAACACAAAACAAACAGGTACACATTTTCAATAATTAAAATTAATTATTCATAAATTACTGAGCGAATTAATGATACGCCACTGTTTTATGACAAAATTGAAAAAACTAAACTAAAACTAGTTTTAGTGAACCCTCATCGACATTTGATTTCGGAAAATCGATTATACGTAATATATCATATTTTACCCAAAATTGTAAAATTTCCAGGGATTTTGTGCCTAAACGGTTGACTTTCGCGAAAATTTTCATAAATCCTTTTTTGTAGGAAATTTTATTCTCTTTAATTTTGCTCTCCTCAAATTTTCGCGAAAAACGCATAGTTTTCGAGATATCCACAAAATACCGATTTTGGGCGCCATCTTGGCAAGATGGCGGCGCCGGCGGCAAGTCTGGAAATGTACATTTTATGGATTTTAGTTAGGGACCCCAAAACCTATAAACCTGCAAAGTTTCTGAACTTCCGGACTTTTTCCAAGCGAGCCCCTTTTTTGATCCCCAATGACTGAACTATAATGACTTATATTTTGATGATCGAATTTGATCTTGTAAACACTGGTCTAATATTTGCTATTACTATATTTATTATTATTTTTATTTTTTGACATTGTAAACATTTATTAATGCTTATTTTAAACAATAAGACTGACAATGTAATTTGTATACTTGTTTTGTATTCTTTTTTGTTTGTTTACTTTACAAATGTCTCCAATGTCTACAAATTTTTTTTTTTTTGACAATAAAGGCATTTATTAGAGATAGATGTAGATGTAGATGATATTTAGTATAATAGAAAAATTATGGGGATATTGGAAGCAGTTTCGAAAAAATGTAGTAATATATCAGGTATTCCATTTAAAATAACAAATATGCTACCACTTTTATTATAAAGCGGCAACACTGTAACTCTGAAAATGATTATTTAGACAGATGGAGCAGGTGCCTTTATGCAAAAATCCAAATTTAAGAAAAAAAATATAAAAAGTTCTATTTGTTACTTACGCCTAAAAGGGTCCACTCTAATTGATTCCCTTTGCGTCAAGGAACTCTCAACTTCCTTTTTCTTGACGCACTGTATACCTAAATGCGGGAACTCCACCCTCATAGTGTCGACTGGTATAGTCAACGTACATACTCCATGTCTGCATCCCTTGCCTACTATCTTGTGAGGATGAGCACTGAAATAAAAAGAAATTTGCTATGAGCGATTCCAGCGATTAGCAGCTCTAGGTACAACTGGAGCAAGGAACAACACAGCGCAAGCTGCGCTAGAAGCAATTCTGGACTTGCAATCAATCGACTGGCTCGTGAAGGATCTGGCCGCTAAGGGTGCCCTAAGATTAAGATAATTCAATCTGTGGAACCATACCAACTACGCCCATACAGCACACTTCGTCCCAGGGATGTACATTTTATGTCCATTTTACGTCGGTACGTTCCGGGATCAATTAGGGACGTACTATGTACGTACATAGACGTGCTCCATGTACGTACTATTTACGTACATTGTAGGACTTCACTACGGACGTACATGCGGCGAGTACGTAATATGTACGTATCTTGAAAATTTTTGAAAACGCATTACAAAATGTTATTTAATTTTAATATCATGACTGGATTATTTTGGTCAGATATACCCAATAATAATGAATGGACTGGATCAGTGGATCTTTTCTAGGCTAACGTTAATTCTCTAACCTACCTCTACTTCTTTTATTAATAAATCTAACCAGACCGCTATAAAAAATGATTTTCTAAATTATCCAATGACCATAATGCATGATAGTCTTTGAAGAAATCTGATGGGTTAAAAATGTAATATATTATGCAATCAAGCCTAACAGGAAAATTATGCAGTCCTATGTTTAAATTTCCCGCTAAGTTATTCGTTTACATTGGAATCGGAAATCGGGCGGTTTCTAATGGCGTTTTCGATTGGCAGAGCTAGAGCGCACGTGTGCACTCAGTGTAGTTCCACCTTTTATTAATCAACGTAAAAATTAAAAACAACAATATACTGAGTGCGCACCTACTCCGATCCAGTTTTCGGTTGTGTTGTGAGAGTGGGTGTCATGTGTCATGGTGGCCGTAGGTTGTTTGGCTTCCGCCTTGTTTTCTTTTATCGTTGCCTTCGTTGCTCGTTGTTTCAAGGTAAGTTAAAGTGTAATAATATAATGTGACTATTTCACCTAGCACAGTCACAGCCTCGAATGATTGAGAGTCGGCTCATTCAATTTTTTCAAAACAGAGGCAAGAATTAGATATTTGAATACTTAGTTTTCTTTTTGTATTTTTTAGTTAGAAGCAGTTCGAGAATAAAAAAATAAAATATCTATCAACATCCAATAAAAGACAGAGTGCGCTAAGGGTTTAGTTGCCGGACCGAAGCCAGACTCACGGGTGTATCAAGACATAAGGGATGACCCTGTACCTGAGTTTTTATATTAATAAATATTTTAAGCTGACTTCCATTGAATTATTTCTAATTAAATTCCTAGGTCGTATACGTCGTTGAAAAATGTACGTCCATAGTACGTACATTGTATGTCCATAGTACGTACATTGTACGTACTTTCGATCATTTTCCATCCAGTTTTGGTCCGGAACAAAACATAAAATGTACGTACCTGGAATGTACGTACATGCGACGTACATAGTACGTACTTTACTACATCCCAGAGACGTACCGGGGACGTACATAGCATTGGAAAATGTACGTCCCTAGTACGTACATAGTACGTACCTGTACGTACTTGTACGTACCAGGGACCTGACGTTCGTCCCAACATTACGTACCAGGTACGTACATAGTACGTACCGTGGCTGTATGGGCGGTCACTCGAGGATATTGCCAGTGACAGGGAAAATCATGGTGAACACATGATTCACCAAACATGATTTTGGAGAAAAGATAAGCGTTTGCATCCCGATAAGGGAAGATTGGGAAAGCAACCGAGTAATGAACATTCAAGAGATAGCAGTCTCACAGATGCTTCCGCAACTTCAGGGGGCACAGGTATAGATATCTTCTCAGAGAAACTAGACGATATCCGACGATATTTAAGGCTATCGGATGGCTGTAATGTTCTACAAGCAAAGGTTTATGCCATAAAGGAAGCAGCTAGTTGTATACGAGAGAAAATTGCTGATAGACCAATAAGGGATATAGTGATATACTCTGACAGCTTGGCCGCTTTAAGAAGCATCACCATGCAATCAGTGAGATCGAAAACTGTGATGAAATGCCGAGAAACACTGTCCTGGCTGCGTCAGGGCGGGGCTACTCTGTGCTGGGTGCCAGGCCACAGCAATGTGGTGGGCAATCAGGAAGCAGACAGACTCGCCAAAGACGGGGCCAGGGGAGAGGCCGTGGCAGATGACCCACCACTTGTGACGATCAACACACTGAAGGAAGCTATAGGAACTGCCATGAAAGCCAAGCAGCGGGCGACGTGGCAATACCGTGAGGACTGTGCTACAGCTCGAAGACTATGGCCAGTGGTAGATAGCAAAAATACTACTAGAGCACAAAAAGGACCTAGTACGCATAATTGTAGGTGTCGTCACTGGAAACTGTCCCAAGGGGGTAAACCTCGTGAGATGGAAAGTTTCCGACGACGACTGCAGAGAATGCGGAGAGGGAGAAGAAACCATAGAGCACCTGCTGTGCCATTGTCCGGCACTGAAATACCGACGCTTTAAAACTTTAGGGCAAGGTTTTTTGGAGGGACTAGAGGAAGCAGCAGAGGCCAACATCAGCGATATCGAGAACTTTGCAAAGAGCTGGAAGTGCTTTAATGCAAAGAAAGAATGAGAGGAAGGTTTGGTACAACAATACAGGGGTATCGCAATGGGCCCTCCGAGTGAGGGATTAAACATGATCCCAAACCCCAGCAACCTAACCTAACATAACCAAGAGTGATTCCGTATGAACAATATACCGTATGATCGAAAAAAAAAAACGACGTGAGCGATGTTTATGAAATGAAGATCTCTGTCATTTTATATGTAAAATTATATGGGAAATGTTAATTTCCAAACCAACTGGTAATAATGGATATTTTATCTGCATATCAGGCTCTACAGGGTCCGGCAATAGTGCGTCGGGCATCTGTAGATCCTAGAATAAAAAACTTGAGAATTTTGTTTAAATGCAAACCTAAAGTATGTTCAAAAATTTATTTCAGGAAAATATTTTAACTTCCATAGGATGGCTCAAAAAAGTGTGAGTGGATCGGAATGATTTTTTTAAATGGAACAATCTGTATATTATTGCATTTTTGGCTTCCTTTCAGATCCCTTTACATAATCCTAAGATATGAGTAAATATATTTCGATAATTTCAGAGACATTAATAAATAAATAAAAAATATATACTTTCCATCCTTCCTTAAAAAAATTATTACAAATACAAAAATCTGCCCTGAAATCAAAACTATATTAGGTACTTACTTTAGATGGTCTATACATACTTTGTTATAAATATCGTAATCGTAAATCATAAAGGGTGCTCAAAATTCTACGCCAAACTTTCTAAAATATAAGATAAATTTGTATATTATGTATATTATTGTATATTATTATTTTATTATTTATTAAAAATGTATATTATTTTTTTATGAGATGGAGAGTTAAAATATGAACATTTTTTGTATTTAAAGTATTTCAAAATTTTTAATGGTTTCGCAGATACACGCAGTATTATTTCATATGGCTCTCTCAACGGTAAAATACGACAGAAAAATCATTGGGTGGCTTTGATATAAAATTACTCTTGAAAATGCTATATCAAATATAAAACCGCAAATCTCTCCAAAACCGTTAACATTTTTGAAATACTCTAAATGCAGAAAATGTTTATTTTATAATTCTCCATCTACTGAAAAAATGATATACAGCGTGTTCTATTTAAAAAAAAACCAAAGAAAAATTATTTTATATTTTAGAAAGTGTGGTGTAGGATTTTGAACATCCTGTATGAATTACGATGACCATATTTATAGCAAAGGAAGTACAGATGATTTAAAGTAAATACCTAATATAGTTTCGATTTCAGGTTAGTTCTTGTATTTTAAATAATTTTTTTTTAAAGAAAGGCTGAAAAATATATATTTTTTATTTATTTATTAATATCTTTGAAACTATCAAAATATATTTACTCATATCTTAGGATTATGTAAAGTGATATGAAAGGAAACCAAAAATGCAATAATAAACAGGGTGTTCCATTTTAAAAAAAATCATGCCGATCCCCTCACACTTTTTTGAGCCACCCTATAGAAGTTATGTCGTAAAATATTTTTTTTTATTCTAGGAGCTACAGATGCCCGATGCACTATTGCCGAACCCTGTATACGGTGTTCCATTACAATAGATAAAGGAAATACATTTAGATTGGAAAGCTCGTCAAAATATATAATTGTTTTTGGGTAGCGACCGTTGTACGCGATCTGGCGCTGCTATAGCGGTTGCTAAGAGCAACCGCCAAACAATATCAGAAATAATTTCCTCCTGTCAAAGTTATAAAATCTTTGAAAATTTAATCCGCCCTTATTGAAAAAATACCGAAAAGTGTTTAAAGCGTCCATTCTCAAAGTAACTACTGCTATCTGGTGAGTTTAATTTAAATTTTACTTACTGAAACTCGTGATAATTGTGAAAAAGTTGAATTAAAAACTGAAAACTGTGTTGTGTATTAAAAAACTGCAAAAACCATCGTGCATCGTGGCATAACGTCACACAGTAGTTTCGGCAATGGAAAAAAAACCAAAAAAGAGGGTGTTAAATCGGATTTAAATTATCCTATCTTACATCGAGCTAGTTCAAAGACAATATAATAATATTACTTTTTTAATTTAATTACTAACGCGCAAAAATAAAGCAAAAACAAATAATATTTTACAGCCCTTCTTTTAATTCTAAAAATCGGTATTACCCAGGAACTGTTTCGTTTATCCATGGGCATTAAGAGTAAAAACCATTTTGCCAAAATATACCGTGCCTTTGATGCAGTTTAGTTTGAATCTATTTCTAATAACATTACTTTACTTTTTACTTTAATCAGACTAGAATAAAAAAGCTTTACCGAGTTTTGGTCTCAGATTAATTTGACTAAAAAAAGCAACTGTTAAAGTAGTGATTCTATAAGTTTTATCGCCACATTCGGCCACGTTTTTTAAAAATTTAAAATAAAAGATAAACAGTGTGGAAAAAAATAAAAACTACATTCTTCATTTTTGCGGATGCCGATGAATTCATTTAATATAATTTACTCTTTTTGCCACTTAAAATTATATAAATATCATTATATTGTATAAGATTTAAATGTTATAAATTATAATAATTTGAACCACAGTAACTAAACTGAGCATCAATTGAAGCGTAAAGTGCAAATTTTTGCATTAAGTTTAACTTCTTGTATTTTTTAAAATTTTGAATTTGCCAGCCAGATTCTAAAACATTGTTTTATCGACTATCGAACCGTTCTTTGCAGTTTTTTTCAATTATTGGTCAGGACCCATAATACAGAGTAAAACAAAAATGCGCGCATTTTTAACAAAATTTTAAGTGAGCCGCATTTTGTGGCGGGATGGAGGAGATCCATTTTTTGTGGATAGTTTGAAGGAGGTGTTTTATACCTCGGGACGTTTATGAGTTTTTTTGGCTATCGCTCTCCATTGCGACGTTTTCGATATTCTTATGATTGTCGGTAGAGTTTTAATACTCTAATAATTTTATCTCATTGTGAAATGAATATATCGTATTTTTAAGCATTATGCATTTTAATGTATAATTAAATAAAGCAAACAAATAATTTTATAAAACTAAAAAGTGTTACAGTTATACAGGGCGTTAAAAATTTATCTAGCTGGTATATTTAAATTATATGAACAGGTTTTATTATGTATCTTGGCATAACAAAAGAAGCATTTAACACTTTCTCATTAACGATACAGTATAATCACTTAGTATAATCATTAGTTAATACGCATAATACTCAAAAATACAATATATTAATTTCATAATGTACGGTTTTAATTCTAATAAATTTAGAATTAAAACCTTACCGAAAATCATAAAAAAAGCAAAACATTGCAATAGAGAGCGATACCTCAAAAACGTCCCGAGGTATAAAACAGCTCTTTTAAAATACCCACAAATAATGGAAATCCTCCATCCCCCACAAAGTGGAGGTCACTTAAAATGTTGTAAAAAATGCACGCATTTTTGTTATACCCTGTATTATGGGTATTGGCCAATAATTCGATAAAAAAGCGTTTCAGAATCTGGCTAGCAATTCAAAACACCTTCAATAGTTCAGAAAATACAAGATGTTCAACTTGATGCAAAAATTTTCACGTTACGTTTCAATTGGTGCTCAGTTTACTTTTAAATAAATTTATTAAACCATGTTATTTGACGTATTTTATTAAGCTGAATCGAATAAAATCCGCCCCAATGCGATTGGATTAACGGTTTAGGAAATATAGGGTTTTTTCGTTATATTATCAGTTTCACACCACTGTGCGTCGGTTTCTAATGTTTCATAGGTATTTCACATACATGTCCTTATATAAAATAAAGTTTCTTGAATGCAACACACTGTATTTCATAAAATTAAAAGAAAATAATAATAAATTTGAATAAATAATATTTGGCGACATAATTCCGGAAAAGGCCGAACCGATCCGAAATTATGAAAAGCTTCGGGTCGCGACCGTTGCAAGAATAGCGCCAAATAGTGTTTACATTGTCCTTATGAGCACTTTCCAATCTAAACTTGTTTCATTTATCTATGTCCATTACAAAAAAACACAACTTTGAGACATGTTACTTTTTTGTGAACACCGTGTATAACTCTATATATTTTTAAAAATGTTTTAAATTAACCTACATATGCTCCCAAAAATTCTATTTAAATACATACAGTATAGTCTTCTTTGGTACCTTCGGATCGCATCAGAGGCTTCACCGTAAAAAATGTTTACTTACGCATAAGGAGGATCCTTCATAACTAAAGACACTACGACTAATGCATTGCCTCTGTAACCTTCCACCTGGATTTCCGGGTACGTTTTGATTTGTGGCGTACTGCTGACTCCTTGGATAGATCCATGGATAGATCCAACCGGGGAACGTTCGCACTGGTATCGAAACCTATAAGCTCTCGATGCAGGTTGTTCCAATATCTGAAATAAAAAAAAAGGTCAAGTGCGAGTCGGACTCGCGCACGAAGGGTTCGGTACCATTCATTATCTGTACAACATTAGACACTATATTATTATAAACTTTTTTTCCGATTTAGCTGAAATTTTGAATGCGCGTATAAGTAATTTAAAAAAATGAAGAAACAAATTAAGTACTAAAAATTGTATTAATCAAAAATAATTATGTAAAAAGTAAAAATAAATACTATGTAAAAATATGTAAAAATTTAAAAAAAAACGATTAAAAAAAGTCGCCTTGACTAGGATTCGAACCTGCCTTACTACGGCTCCAACGTCATAGCAGCGTAAAGTCCTAACGCTTTAACTTAGGACTTAGAGGACTTACAAGATTATATGTACAATTCTTACTTAAAAGATACCATACCATACCATACAGCCATTACTCGCTGACGAGTATTTGACACGCATCAGAAGATGGTAACGTAAGGCGTTTTCTTTCATGAGCTTTTCTGTGACTGAAAAGCCCGATACGTGATGTTATCTGTCTACCGCACTCCAGACATTCAAAAATCTCATTGCTTTGTTGCCTCTTTACTTTTTGGTTATTGCTCTTAACTGACTTTACAATTCTTCTCCATTCCGTTCTATTGTGAGCTGCCTCTTCCCACTCATTCTGCTTGTTAATTCCCTTTAAGTTTTCGAGAAAAATATCCTTGAACCTTTTGAGTTGTCCACCCGGTCTCCTCTTACCGTCTACAAGCTCACCGTAAAGCAGAGATTTTGGTATGCGGTTTTCCTGCATTCTGCATACGTGACCAGCCCATCTTAAGCGGGACTTTGTAATCATGACTTCAATACTCTCGCAGTTAGCTTTTTCAAGGACCGAAACTGCCGAGGTAATTAAATTCCGCTACATATTCCAACTGTTCATCTCCGATTTTTATAGCATTGTTATGATCTTCCGGAGGAGTGCACATGATTTTAGTTCTATCGATGTTCAGCTTAAGTCCCAAGGCCTCGTATGCCCATGCATATGTGTTCAACATTTCTTGCAATTGCTGTAACGTATTTGCAACTAGAGCACAGTCATCAGCGTATTGAAGTTCTGTGATGAATTTTGTACGTGTTTTTGCCCTGGGTCTTTTTATGTTGAACAGACCGCCGTCGTATCTGTATCTAATGCCCAAACCTCTCTCCTGCAGATTGCTGTCCACTATAATGGAGAGCGCTTCATGAATATATTGAATAGGAGAGGCGCTAAGACATATCCCTGCCTAACGCCTGTGTTTGTTAGGAAGAGATCGCTCAGGTGATCCATGATATGACACTCTTGATTTGTTGTTGTTATGGAGGCTTTTACACATTGTAAGAAATTTGATGGGTACTCCGAACTTTTTCATAATTGCCCAAAGTGCATCTCTGTTCATAGAGTCGAAGGCTTTTTTTAGATCGATGAATGCAACGTAAAGTTTAGACTGCTGTTCTTTTACTTTTTTCTGTAGTTGCCGGATGGAGAATATGGAATTGACGGTACCGCGGTTGGTGCGAAAACTCGTTTGCGATTCTGGGAGGATTTTTTCTATATGTGGGTGCAGGCGGTTTGACATAATTTTTGCAAGAATTTTTCCTCCGATAGCCAGTAGTGAAATTTCTCGGTAGTTTCCGCAGTCTGATGCACTTCCTTTGTTCTTAAATATATTCACTATATTCGCGTTGCAAAAGTCCTGAGGTACCTCTCCGCTTTCCCATATGATCTCAAAGATGACCATTAAGTTCTTTACTTGCACACTTATAAATTTCCGCCGGAATCGCGTCACAGCCAGCTGATTTGTTGTCTTTAAGCTGTTTTATGGAGTCCTTTATTTCCTGTTCTGTTACTGGAATGTCTAATACATCGAGGCTGTTATACTGAGGTATTATGTTGAGTGCTTTCATGTTGGGGTTGTTTTCTTAGTTAAGGATATGGCTGTAATGCTCTTTCCAGCGGCTTCTGATTTGCTCTTCCTCTTTTAGAAGTTCGCCATTTTGTGCCATGATTGGGCATCTTGCCTTCTTAGTTGGACCGTATACTTCTTTTACAGCCTCGAAGAATTTACGATAGTCGTGATGCGTGGCATACTCCTGAATCTGACTAGCTTTTTGCGACCACCAGTTATCCTTTAGTTGGCGCAGGTTTCTTCGGAACGTGTTGTTGGCTGCCTTAAAGTTGTCAGCTAGTCTTGGATTGCGTGGATTTGCAGTGACGGTTTGATGTGCTCTATGCTTTTGTTATATGCGGTTGATTTTCGTTAAACCAGTCTTGTTGTAAAAGTCGGTGTTCAGTGCCGCATTCGGCATCTACTCTGGCTTTTGTGAGACTGACATTTTAGGTACGTCCTTCGAACGATTACGTGGTCCAATTGGTGCCAATGGCCTGATCTCGGATGTTTCCATGTACCTTTAAATTTGTCCTTCAGCATGAACCACGCATTGGTGGTGCAAAGATTATACTCTGTGCATGTTGTTAATAAGCGTTCACTATTGCTATTTACATTTCCTATTCCATGTTTTCCCAATACGTCAGGCCATATTTCCTGTTGCTTGCCGACACGGGCATTAAAGTCACCTAGCAAAATGATTCGTTCATGCTTTGGAATTTGTTGGAGTATATTTTGCAGAGCTTGGTAAAATTTATCCTTATCCTCAATTTTAGCGTCTAGGGTAGGAGCGTAGGCACTTATGATGTTGACGTAAGTTTTGTCTGATATGGGGTACCTTAGAGTCAGAAGACGTTCGGAGACACCAATAGGTATCTCTGTTAATTTGGTGGCGATTTCGTTTTTGATTGCAATGCCTACGCCATGAATTCTCCTGTGTGTTGCCGGGTGACCCTTCCAAAAGAAGGTGTAATGCTCCTCAGTGAGACTACCTTCATCCGCAAAGCGGGTTTCGCTAAGAGCGGCAACATCGATATTTAGTCGGTGGAGTTCCTGTGAGACCAGTGCTGTTCTTCTCTCTGGTCGATTGGAGTTTGTACTGTCCAGTAGAGTGCGGACGTTCCACGCCGCAAACGTAAAACATTGACGATGTTTAGTTCTCCGATGATACGCTCGAGTAGGCATCCCCTCCCGGAGATCCGATCGAGGGGGCATTTTACCTCCGGACGATGATTTTGTCCTACTCGAATGTTCCATCTTTGATGAGTGTAAGCTGCGTAAAAAGGTTAAACTGTGATGGTTACGCTGCCGCACAGTTTGGCTGCAACTGTAGCACGGGATGGCTATGGCACAGTGAGGATTGCGACGATAGTTCCCTTGTGCTACGCTCTCGGCCGGCTGGGAGTAGTTTACTACTCCTCTTCCCCAGAAAGGTGGTAGGTCTGAGGGTTGTATAATGATATACCGCCTATATTCGGTCGTCAGAGCCTCGTTAGGGTGCACCACGTAAAGGAGAGGTTGACTTTTGGGTAAGCTAGGCTATATGTATCGCTTCAATACCCCTTGCACCCCTTACTTAAAAGATAATGTTTAGTGAAAGTACTTTTTTATTTATAAACATTTTTTATTTAATTCTGTTTTTAGTACTTGTTCTTATAGCGGCAACATGGATACATTATCTGTAAAAATTTCAACTGTCTAGCTATAACGGTTCATAAGATAGACCTTTGTGACAGACGGATAAACGGACAGTGAAGTCTTAGTAATAAGGTTCCCGTTTTTACCCTTTGGGTACGGAATCCTAAAAAAATATACTAGCTTACCCGGTTAACTTAGAGATTTTTATTTTATCGGTCTTGTGTATGGATGAACAAGTTAAGCGTGAAATTAAACTGTTAGGCAGTTACTCTAGCAGATATGGATTTAAGTCTAAAAGTTGATCTCTGCCATGATCAATTAAAACAGCAATAGCCGATACTTCAAAACTTAAAACCATCTCTATTTAGTTCAGTAATATTATGGCTCAAATTGCGATATATCCGACAAAAAAAAAATTAATTCATAAAGTTTTCCAAATTGGTGGAAATAATCAGGACATCATATGTATTAATAAACTGAAAAGTTCCCACCCCTAAATAGTGTGCGTCATCAACCAGAACATCGTTTCTACCCCCATTTTAAGTTTTTTTAGATAATCTCGGCAACGGTGCAATTCTCGACAAAAATACCTATATAGAAAATTGTTCTTCATAAAATTCTCTATCAAAGATAATTAGATAATTACACTTTTTTTCTAAAGTTAATAATAAAGTGGCAAATAGGGCGCAAATATAAGGGTTGGTTATGACTAGCACTATCTGCAGTTCAATCTAATTTAAAGTTTAATGTTTAACGCTAACAAAAAGCAGTAACCACTAAATTATACTTAGAATTTTAATATACGTTCTTCTCTCACACTCCTCTACCCCTATAAAATGGGTGATTTGTACTTATTTCCACATCACCCTAGAGGTAAAGTATTTGATGCGTTTTTTTTTAAAGTTGTATCCCCTGTAGGCCTAATCCACTAATTATCAAATGCTAAAGATGGGATTTTATTTAAAAGTTTAAAAGTGCGTTGTGCAAATCGTGTAAAGCCGATATCTAGTTTGAGCAATACAATGAAAATTAATGGCAATGATGTTCAAGTTGACTCAACATTACTATATCAAAGAATTATTTGTACCGTTCATTCTAGCCTGGAGTTAAAAAAGTGCTTTAGTTTCGAATTAGCTTCAGTATATCTTTCCCTTTTCGATTTGAAAGGAAAACTAATAAAGCAGCTTTATACCAGATTGTCAATAAAGTTCCAAAACGAGACCATATTTTTGAAAACAGCGAGTATGTCATTGATGGAGGATATTTCTTCGCCGCGTAATATGGGCAAAAAAGGGACATTTAATATATTTATTATTAACTATTAGAAAAAAAGTGTAATTATCTTTTTGATAGAGAATTTTATGAAGAACAATTTTCTATACAGGGTGTTTCAAAACAAATGCAAAAAACTTTAGGGGGCGATTCTTTGTTCAAAATAAAGGGTAGTTTGCTTTATAAACGTTGGGTCAAAAGTCAACCATTAGGGAGATGCGGTACCAAAGATGGCGGAAAAATAATGTTTTTATTTTTTATCTTGAAAACGAAAAGAGATAGACTAATGAAATTTTATGGAAGCATTACTGTTATGAAAACACACTTTCTGGTAATTTTTTCACTTTTTTAAAATGAGTGGAATGGGTTGAAATAAACTACCCTTATCATTCTTGTTAATGAAATTTAAAGAAGAAAAATCTTATCAAACACATGCAAATGCTTTAATTTTTGATAGTTCAGTTTGTTTAGAAACTTTTTACCTCTTGTGTTTTTTGATACTCTCACCGATTCGAAATTAAAAATAAAATGTAAAGCATTACATGTCAGGACAAAAAACATTTTTATATTAAGAATCTAGTGATAATAACGATAATAATAATCATCTAGATAATAACGTATTGCAGTAGAGTAATGTCAAATAAAATAATGTTGGGAATATCCTAAAAAGTAACAGCGGCCGACTAGATTTTTTCCTAAAAAAATTACAGCAGCCCACTAGATTCTTTATCAGAAAATGTTTTTTGTCCTGACATGTAATGCTTTACATTTTATTTTTTAATTTCAAATCGGTGAGTTTTATCAAAAAAATACAAGAGATAAAAAAGTTTCTAAACAAACTAAACTATCCAAATTAATTTTTTTGCATGTGTTTGATAAGATTTTTCTTTAAATTTCGTTAACAAGATTGATAGGGGTAGTTTATTTCAACCCCTTCCACTCATTAATAAAAAAGTGAAAAAATTACCAGAAAGTGTGTTTTTTTTTTTTTCGTAAAATAAACAATAATAATATGACTTTTCAATGACAGTGACATTACAAAAACAATAAGCAGTATTTTATAAGTGTGGTGATGAGGATCCAAAATTCTTGCTAAAATTGCTGTAAATCACGGTTACTGGCTTATTCAAAAGCGAATATCTCCAATAAAAGTAAAGCTATTGGGATGAATCAAAAAACAAACTCTCGAGGAAAGACATATCTAGATGATAAAATGATTTTTAAAATATTTGCTTTGTTAACATATTCCACAAAGTGTTTTGGTTTCACCAAAATATCAACATTTTGTTTTCCCTCGTATAATTGACAGATGGAAACTTTCATTTTTAATTTGGACAAATATACTAAAAAGTCAAATAATTCAGCTACAAATTGCTTAAAAGATCATCAAAATCGGCTCACTAGAACAAAATATATTAAACTTTAAAGTATTAACTAATAAAGTACTTATAGCAAACTTTTGTAATCATTCGATTCGATGTAATCATTCTCTCGATATAATTATCATGCCAAAAGTTCCATATGCTAGACATACCCTAACATAAGCCTGCCTTCTGTGAGCTCCGGTATTGGGTGGTCCTTGAGAGTAGTTGGTAAATGAAGGAATCTCACCTTGGTGCATTGGATCTTTGTTCATTTGTACTCCGAAATCCATGTCCGATAACGTTACCTGAAATACGTTAACTAGGTCAATTTAATATTTTTTTAAAATATTTTACAATAAATAAAACAATGTCGGGTTTGCTGTACCATTTATATTTCAAAAACGACTTGGCCGACTTTAATGTTTCGACGTTTTCACGATCTCTGGTTTGTTGGATTCGTATCCGGCCCGAATAGTAGAAAAATTCAGAAATAGTAAATTTTCAATTAGTAGAGAAAATTAACCAACTTTTGCCACTAATTATAATTCAAAATTTGCGAGTAATGTCATTTTGACCTTTAATTATTTTCCGTTAGAAGAAATTGTGATTGGATGAAAACTTTATTTCTTTATAATCTAACTAGCGTGTACCAGCGACTTCGTTCGCGTCGAACTAATCATTTGTAATGGTGACGATAAAGCAAATCAAGAATTTCCAGTAACATACAAACTGGATAAAATTTTCTCTCATTTATGTCAGCATGAGAAAAAACAATATGGCGATATTATTATATAACTTGGTAATATTTGAGGGGTAATTTCATCTCGTTGGAATTTGACTTTCGAAAAATCCATTTGCCAAAAATAAGCTTTTTACGCCAAGCAGTTTAAGCAGAATCGTGGTTAAGAAATTACCCAACTTTTTGGAACACCCTGTATGATTTTTTAAAAATTTTCAAAATATGTAAAAAAACCAAATAAATTATGGTTGTCCAAGCGTTTTCCCGAAAGACTAACCGTTTTTTAAATAACAAATATTGTATTATTTGAGGGACGTTTTCACCCTCTTATAATTTGAGATTCGAGAAACCCCTCCTTATCGAACCTCTACACCCCACAGTCAATCCGTTTGCCAAAAATCAGCTTTAAACGTCAAGCAGTTTAAGCAGAATCGTGATTACTCAATGGTCATATTTTATGAAACACCTTGTGTAAATTTATAAAAAATCTTAAAATATGTAAAATAACAAAATAAAATATACGTGTTTAAGAGTTTTCCGAAAAACTCACCGGTTTTTAAATAAAAAATATTTAATATTTGAGGGATAGTTTCACCCCCTTAGAATTCGAGTTTCGAAAAATCCCTTCTTATCGAACCTCTACACCCTAAAGTCAATCTGTTTTCCAAAAATCAGCTTTTTACGTCAAGCGCTTTAAGCAGGATCGTGATTAATCTATGACCAGATTTTTCGAAACACCCTGTATACATTTTTAAAAAATCTTAAAATATATAAAAAAAAAACAAAATAAAATATACGTGTTTAAGCGTTTTTTCGGAAACTTGGCCGTTTTTTAAATAAAAAATATTGTAATATTTGGGGGGTGGTTTCACCCTCTTGGAACTGGAATTTCGAAAAATCCTTTCTTATCGAACCTCTACACCCTAGAATCAACCTGTATGCCAAAATTGAGCTTCTTACGTTGAGTGGTTTGAGCAGGATCGTGATTAATCAGTATGTCAGTCACTTAAGGATTTTATATATTAGTATAGATGTTAAGATTCTGAATGAGGCTTAATAATAATTAAATTTTAACAAGAAAAAGAAGATATTTTACTTACCCAGAAAATAATGATTTTTAACTGCAAACTAAATCCCAAACAACAAAGTTTGTGTTATTTTATAAATACATTTCACACTTTTAGAATTTAGAGTTTTTAGAGAAAGAACATTCACTAACTAACGTCTCAGAACACTGAAGAAAACCTGACTGTTATTCCGATGGAATTCTCTAGCATACTAAAGACAGCTAAAGAGATACTTTTCGACAAATATAAATACATATAATAAAACTTTTTCCCTTTTAATTGCATGCACAGTGGCGGCGTGTGGTTCTATACTTTGAGGTGAACAATCTTAGAAAAAAATAATCGTTACAACACCACATCAAATAGCCAATCTAAGGGTTGAAATTAAAAAATGATCTTATTTTATTAAAAAACTGTAACACTGTCTACAAAAATGTGTATTGTCTAGATAATACAGGGTGGCCCATCGAAAACGTTCCGCAAGGCATCACGGCAAGGGTATTTTTTTTTCAAAAAATCCAAAAACACGTCAATTTTGTTTGTGAGAGGGACAACTTTTGCCCCAAAAATAATTGCAAAATCTTCATCCCCAAATGGGAAGGGGGGTCAAGTGGCGCCGCAATAAAAAGAGCTTTATATTCTCTATATTTCCCCGCTTCGTTTTTGAAAATTGGTCGAGTCATTGAGAAAATATGAAGGATTGAAATTTGAAAAGTTTATTTAAACATTTATCAGAGTAAATGATAAGAATAAATTCCTTCGACCAATTCGCTGTTTTTTCTTATTATTTCTAGATGTTTACGCATTTTTTCACTTGCCACAAGGTTGAACGATCAGGTGCGGTAGTTGCTAGATAGCTGTTCTGTGACTTGTGCGTTGAAGTTCTTCTCAATATCGTTAAACTGACCCAAAATAGAATTTCTAAAAATACCAGCCCACATGTTCAATTTCTGAGAGTTTTGTGTGTGCACCTCGTGAAAAACCCTGGGGTTGTCTTCAGCCCACTACCAAGAGTTGTGCCGATTAACTATATACACCGTTCAAAAAGAAAGTACGAGTACACTCATCCGAAAAACACACATTAAATAGGAACTTATTATCATTCGCCACTCGTTCATTCATAGTTTCACAAAATTGCAAGCGACGATCAAAATCATTCACTTCGTTCACTTCTAGTACCTACTGAATTTTGTACGGGTGGAACTTGTGTTTTTTAATATCCTTTGGACACTTGTACGATTCACGCCGGTCTCATTGGCTAATTTTCTTGTACTCAGCGTACTATCCATGACAACTTGGCTAAATACGAATACCTCCATAGCTTCATTTACTACAGGATTTTCCCTCTGCCTCTTTTTATTTATAACGGAACCAGTTTCGCGAAATTTTGCTACTAACTCGCGAACAATTTTTCCATAAAGGTGTTTGTCAGGATGGCGTTCATTGAATCTCTGCGCAGCCTGATTGCCACATTCATTATTTTTAAAATAAAGTTCGATTATTTCCAATTTTTCTGCAAGTGAGTACACCATAATTGTTAAAAAGTTTAACGATATCGAGAAGAACTTCAACGCACAAGTCACAGAACAGCTATCTAGCAACTACCGCACCTGATCGTTCAACCTTGTGGCAAGTGAAAAAATGCGTAAACATCTAGAAATAATAGGAAAAAACGGCAAATTGGTCCAAGGAATTTATCCTTATCATTTATTCTGATAAATGTTTAAATAAACTTTTCAAATTTCAATCCTTCATATTTTCTCAATGGCTCGACCGAATTTCAAAAACGAAGCGGGAAAATATAGAGGATAGAAAGCCCTTTTCGTTGCAGTACCACTTGAGCCCCTTCCTATTTGAAAAAAAATTGGAGGATAACATCCCCGCCTAGAGGGTTGAAAATTTTGCAATCATTTTTGGGGAAAAAGTTGTCCCCTTCACAAACAAAATTGACGTGATTTTGAATTTTCTGAAAAAAAAAATTACCCTGGCCTAGTGATGGGTTGTTATTTAACTATCTGTTATTTTATAACAATTATTTAGAAATAACATAACGCAACCGTTACTGCTTTTAAAAAATAACAGATATAAAATAACGACACGCAGAGATCGAGTGTTCGTGAAACGAAGTCGGCGCTCTGCACCGCCACAAAATTCGATGCTACTCGAAGCAATTCCAAAAAACAACTAGTATGTAGTATGGATGGAAAACCTATTATTTCGACAACCATCGATACAGGCGGCGAGATACAACGGACAACGGAGTGGGGTATGCGCTACGGCGCGGCGCGTCGTGTTGGGCTGACAACAGCTTAAAAATAATAGGATATAAAAGAAGCAGCTTTTTTGAAACAGTTGCGGGCATAACGCCTGGCTGTCGAGATAACAGGAGCGCTGCTGCATCGGTCGATTGTCGATGGAGGCTCGCAACGGGTTGGAGAATAACGCATCAGTTGTTTTAGCTATGTTGTTTTTTTACCTGTTACGAGCATAACAGAACGGCGTTCGAGATAATCGGAGGTTTGAAACAGGTTGGAGAATAACGCATCAGTTGTTTTAGATACATATTGTTTTTCAACCTGTTACGAGCATAACGGGCGGAGGTCGAGATATTATGGCGCTGTATGTTTCAATACTTTGTTATTAAGTTTCAATATTTAAGTATTTATTTATTCTGAAAAATTTTCAGAATAATATTTTAAGATTTTTTAAAAATGTATACAGGGTGTTTTGAAAAATCTGGTCATTGATTAATCACGATCCTGCTTAAAGCCCTTGACGTAAAAAGCTGATTTTTGGAAAACGGATTGACTTTAGGGTGTAGAGGTGCGATAAGAAGGGATTTTTCGAAACTCAAATTCTAAGGGGGTGAAACCACCCTCAAATATTAGAATATTTTTTATTTAAAAACTGGTGAGTTTTTCGAAAAAACTCTTAAACACGTATATTTTATTTTGTTGTTTTACATATTTTGAGATTTTTACAAAATATATACAGGGTGTTTCATAAAATATGACCACTGAGTAATCACTATTCTGCTTAAACTGCTTGACGTTTAAAGCTGATTTTTGGTAAACGGATTGACTGTGGGGTGTAGAGGTGCGATAAGGAGGGGTTTCTCGAATCTCAAATTCCAAGAGGGTGAAAACGCCCCTCAAATATTACAATATTTATTATTTAAAAAACGGTTAGTCTTTCGGGAAAACGATTGGACACGCATAATTTATTTTGTTTTTTTACATATTTTGAAATTTTTTAAAAAATAATACAGGGTGTTCCAAAAAGTTGAGTAATTGATTAACCACGATTCTGCTTAAACTGCTCGACGTTTAAAGCATATTTTTGGCAAATGTGAGAAAATTTTATCCAGTTTGTATGTTAATGGAAATTCTTGCTTTGCTTTATCATCACCATTACAAATTAATAATTCGATGCGAACGAAGTCGCGGGTACAACTTAACAAGTATAGCTAGAGACGTGAGAAATATAAAATAAGAGACGCCCCCCGATGCGCAGTGGACATCCCACAAATTTGCTTCAATCAGATTTTTCGTAGCGTAACTGCATCTCTCTTCCGCCGAATGCGTTCTCTCTCTATCGTGTGCGCGACCGGTGCTATCCCCAAGTCTCTTCCTATATTTGTCAAACTGTACATGCTAGTTTAAGTGTAAAATTAATTCGAACTCTAGTGTGTAGTTGGTTTACTTATGAAGAATATACTACACATTTTCTTATATTGCTATTTTTTGACTGCAAATGGTAAAATCATAACGAAGAGCTTATCGCCCGTCGAGTGAGATGCACCCTGTACACTGCTACGCAATTCAGAATCTACGCGGATCGAGGGATAGGGCGTAGGTAGATCGGAATTTATAGATATAGACGAGTGACAATTTCTAAACAGCGCTTATTTGCAAACAACCCCCGTTTTTAGAGAGGTATTTTAGATAACAATCGATATTTAGAAATGTTATGACACCCTGGAAATACTACCACCGAGCACGTCATTGTTGCAACTGCGTTAATACGCCTGGCGGTGACCGCCTCATATTTTTTCAAATATTTAGCAATAAAATAAAGAAACCTGTTATTTTTAAGCTGTTATTTTAAGCTGTTTTTTATAAATAACTATAACAGTTTCAACTGTTATCTAAAAATAACAGTTTTGCCCATCACTACCCTGGCCGTTATGCCTAGCGGAACGTTTTCGATGGGCCATCCTGTATGTTACACGCTAACGTAATTTTTTGTAGTTCGTACCTCCAAATAATTCCATTCACGAGCTAGTGCATAGTTTTCAATTATTGTGGAATCCGCACATAAATTTCATTTTCCAAAAAAACAAAAATAAAGATGCTTGTGAACAAACACGGCCGCTTTATCCATTAGGCAAGATAGGCAGCTTCCTAGGGCGGCTGATGGGGGGCGGCAATTTATTGTTAATGAAAACAATTCGGAAAACAATATGTTCGAAAGTAAAACATACTGCCACAATATTATATTAGTTTTGAATTATTAAAATCAAATATTAAAAACTGTTTAACATCAGTAGTGTACAGGGTGGGTCTAATTCGACGCTTTTAAATGGAAACACCCTATTCTATAGGAGATAGACGAAAACTAATATCGGTGTCTGGAGCTCAATTATCATCAAAAACATGATGGTGAAAACCGCACATCAATATCTGTTACCGTTTCGGAGATACGGGGTGTTTTTCAAAAATGTACATTTTTAACAAATCGCTGTAACTTTTTTGCTATAGAAAATTTTGTATTTCTATGAAAACATTTCCAAAGCACCTTTTTACGTAGAATTTAATGGTTTAAGTATAATTTTTTTAAAATTAATAATTTAAGAGTTATCAACAGAAAAATTGATTTTTTATTTAGGACACCCTCTATATTTTTGATTAACTGAAAAGAATAAAAAATTACCTTTCCATAAATATAGCACACTTGATATTTTGTTATAATCCCCTTCAAAATACAGAATTTTTAAAAGTTTGCTACTTCTAACTAGTAGGCTTTGGACCCCTTATTGATGGTATGTCCTTAATGGAACTCGAAAACATATTTTTCCAGCAAGTCGACGCACCGGCTCTGAACGCTGAAGTTATTAGCAAATTTTTGCAGCCAATTTCAAGAATATTTGAATAGGTAACCAAGATCCCAGCCGTTGGCCGTCGAGGCCGCCTGATTTAGTGCCCATGGATCT